CCGTCGTCAATCGACTTGAACACATATGTGTGACGCCCGGCGGTGTCAGGCACAAGCTCAATTTGGGAACGCAGGCCTCTCTCCACAACATGCTTCTTGAGCCTTGTCTTGCCATCATCATCAGTAACCTCATATCGAACAACGAAAGGTGGGGTTCCAACAAGGTCCAGGTCGACACGGAGTCCGATAGAGTTGCCCGCGCACTTATCAGAGATTTCCTCAGACCGAAGCTCCAGTTGAGGCTCAAGAGGGTTCAGAACCAAGCAGGAGGATGGCTCCTCAATTTGACCCTCACATTGTCCACTGGAAACAGACTTGAGAGTGTACAATCCCGGAGCCGAGATGGAAGGCTTTATCTGGTGTGAATTCTGGGCGACATGGCTGGCGAAAGAGACGTCATCACCGTGATCTCCGCTATCAGTGAGAGTGCTGATGGGAGAAAAGGCCCAGCTAATGCTGTGTGAGGAATCATCCAAGGGGCCCGCCAAACTGAATTCAACCGGCAGGTGCGCAGAGTGACCCTTTGCGATCCTGAGAGGATTCTTAAGATCACAACCCTCCATGCGGATCTTGGGACGCTCCTTGACCATGAATTTATGAGACAGTTCCTGGTTCTTGACCTTTGATGGCTGATTGTCAGGCTCCCCATACTTGACCACGTTCCCAAAAGCATCATGAACCTCATCAACGGTATATTGCCAGTCTCCAGAAGGGGTCAATGATTCGTTCAGGGCGACGGAAATTCTAGACGGTCGAACCCAGGCGAGACCATCCTGCTCATCTGACTCCGAAGGTGTCGACACACCGCTCAGAGGGGAGGAGAAGCCATCAGGCTGCAAACTCTGGAAGTGGAAGCTGCGATTCTTGCCATTTATAGCCCGACTATAGACGATCTTCAGAGGGGGAGAGCCAATGACCTGTAATGAGAGATCGGATAAATCTCCAATACATCTTGCAGCTGAGTCTGCTGCTCGGAAGTGTGCCTCGGGACAGGGTACCACGTAAGTATCCTTGGTCGACCTTTGAACCTCCAGTTTGTACTCATCCAGGACTCTTCCCAGTCGGTAGATACCAGTTTTCTTAACAGGATACTCCCACCGGAAACCATCACTACTAGGATCCGCATTTTGCTCTCGAACCAGCTTAGCCAGCTTGCTCACCTCCCTGTTGGGAAGTTTGATTATCTCTTCTTTGTTGGTGAAAATGTCGGTTCGAACGATTTCGATTTCGGCGGGAACCGTGGCATTGAAGTATATCGGTAACGAGATTCCCTGTCTCGACTTTGCAGGTGGGATGCAGAACGGCTCGTGGTCGGGGTTCAACACTGCAGACCCTTCAGGTAAAATGTTGATGATTTGCTTGCCCATGATGAGTGAATGGTTATTGAGCAAACTCGAGACTTTGACATTATGTTCGGAAACGGAAATTTCGCGATCGTACAAGACCTTGGCGAAAGCGAGGAGCCATGAAAAGAAGGGAACCTAGATAATGAACCACTAGTCAATACCACAGCCCAGTCCGATATCGAGAACAAAGACAGCACTTACAGGCACGAGAAACATGAGGAACCAGTTGGCAACCACATGTACGAGGTAGATAGATGTCACAACGGCTTGAGACGGCTCCAGCCATGGTATTCGCAGCTCGGGCAAAACAAAGAAGTAGACGCAGTCGATGACGATCCACTTCAGAAACATGCCCCAAGAGCCTTCGCCCTCCTCAACCACAGCTACCCAATTATATAGCTTCCATATTAATAGCCCGACGTAGAGGGCAAAAGCGTAGAATCGCTGGGAGGGCGCGTCAAGAACTGTCAGAGGTATCAACGGCTGGCTGCCAGCAGGCTTGGCGGGCGCATTTTCAGGAGCTTGAGGGAGAGGCTGCTGCTTGACCCTGGACGCACTGGCGGTGGAAGAAACGGTTCCCACAGTGCTCGGGGTATCTTGAGGAATTTGTCGTCGTGCGGTCGTGGCTGGGGTTGTTGGAAAGCCAGACCGGAGTCGGGGAGTTGCATTCATCGCATTCCGTGTACAGCGCCGAGTCTGCGACGAAGCATCGAGTTTCTCTGGAAGCTCTTGTTTGCTCCAGTAACACCTCCGAAATTGGGTGTCGATCGAAGCTCGTATGCAAATGGGATATATCCGTCGTGGGTGATGGTGATGTTTGGTGGTGGGTGCCAATTTATAAATTCCATTCACGGTTGTTGCTTTTTTGCCTGGTCCAAGCAGCTCTGACGCGCCGTGCATAATATTTTCACAACTTACCTAGGGAGCTCCCTTTGTGCACACATATCTTTATCCCTGCAGAGGGCGCAACTGCCGCTAAATACTTACGCTAAGGCCTGTGCTCTCCTGCAGCGGTGGCGCTTTCCCTAAACCGCCCCGTTTTAGCGGGCGCACTCTCCAGAGCAGTCCTTACCTAACATGCCCAATGATACCTGCTTCATGTGATCGCATCATCTCCAGGGAAGTTTATAATAGCAATGCCACTTTTTAATCCATCTCATCACGTCTAATGGACTCAACCTCTTTAAGCAAATTTAGATGGTAAAAAGGGAAGAGGACACACAAGTTGTCATAAGTGTGGGCGCACTTTACCCGACTTCTCCATACCAACCACAGCCAAGGCGATGACCGAATACTCAAGCTTCACAAGTGGGAGACATAACATCCTCACCTCGCCAATACTCCAACAACGCTTCCATATTTTTACCGGCCATTGATGCCGCTGAAACGGAATACAATACGCAAATTCGCATATAGCTACCTTCTCTTTTTATCCTCTTGTCATCCATTTCTTCTCTCTCCACCCGCCGCAAACAGGCTGGCGCCATCCCCCAACCTTTGCCTCCTACCCTCAACCATCATAACGACGCAAGCTCTTTATTTGTATTTCCAGAACTGTTTCAACATGGTCATGGACGTGGAGAATTCTGACCCGGGGGACATCATTCATATGGAAGGCGGACCCGCACCCCTCCAGAATGAACAACCACAGCCGTTGAGACGTTCAGGGCGCCAACCTGTGAAGCCGAAGCGCCTGAACTCGCCCGATGAAGCATACGAATCTCCTTCAAAGAAATCAACAGTATCAAACACATCGCCAGGGCGCCGGCGAAATCCAAAGCGCAAAGTAAGCCAGCAATGTGAGCTTGTAGGCCATCTTCCGGCCAACCTCCTCGAGGAAGCACTCAAACCTCTGGACACCAACGACATTGAAGAATGGGAAGGATGGGTAGAGCTCGAATCCGACCCGGTAAGTTCCATTGTACTTTACTTTCCCGTATTTGCTACCTCCCAGAAACCTAACACGTTTACACAGGCATTTTTCAACATCATCCTTCGGGACCTAGGCGTTGAGAATGTCAAAGCTCAGGAGCTTTTCACTGTCGAACAGGAATTCATGGACCTATTGCCGTATGCCAATGAACATAAAAATAGCCAACTTTCTTTCTATTTCGTCTAACCATTGTCCTTAGCAAACCGGTGTTTGGCCTGATATTTCTGTTCGAATATCTCCCAGAGGACGACGAGACGGAGGATGAAGAAAAACCTAGCGGAATATGGTTCGCTAACCAGGTTTGTGCCCAAAGATACCATCTGTCCTTTCTTCGGTTTTGCTGACCTTTTTCCAATGCCAGACTACTAACAATGCTTGCGCCACGGTTGCGCTTCTCAACATCGTCATGAACGCACCAGGTGTTCGGTTGGGTGAAACTCTTAAGGAGTTTAAAGAATCCACCAAGGACCTGAGCACAGCTCTAAGAGGTCATCGGCTCGGCTCGAATCCGCATATTCGTGGGATTCATAATTCGCTGACTCGTCGCATGGATCATCTTAATGCGGATCTCGCGCTTGAGAACGAAGCCAGCGAAGCAGCTTCCAAGAAATCTAAGACTCGCTATATCAGCAAAGGTGGTAAGCGAGCCCAAACGCGTAAGAAGCGTAGCGAGTCTGAATATGGATTCCATTTTGTTGCCTACGTCCCAGCTGATGGGTATGTTTGGGAGTTGGATGGACTAAAAACAAAACCTCATCGACTAGGTAAGTGAAAGAAATGCATTGGCGCATACAGTGAATAAGAAATATGAAAAGCTTATCTTCTTCGATAGGACCCCTAGAATCTGCAGACTGGACAACAGTCGCCCGTCCTCATATTGAAGCCCGAATGCTTCAATATGAGGGGACTCAGCTATCCTTCAACCTGCTGGCGCTATGTCAAAGTCCCCTCGCTGTCCACTCCCAGGCTATTGCTGGAGCTCTCGCGTCGCTGCAATGCTTCCAGAATACTTTACGTTCCCGGCCCGACTTTTCAGAGCTAGAAGTATCACAAAGAGAAAACCCAAACTTTAGCGACGCATCAGTATTATCCGAGTTCCAACTTACAGAGGCAACTGTTCAAACAACCGAAGTGCCCCAGTCACTTCGTGAACAGATCCAGCAGCCCAGCATATCTATCGAGGAGGCGCATAGTCTCTTTGATGAATTGACACTCGAAGTAAAGTCCACTATGGGTGAGTACAGATCCGAAATGATTGCAATGGAAGAGGACGAGCATCGGGTCCAGGGGCGCAAGAAAGACTACGCGCTGGCATTACACAAATGGGTAACCAAGCTTGCCGAGAAGGAGGCATTAGAAGAGCTGATCAAAATTTCATGAAATGGGCCATTGGTCCTCGATCTGTCCGTATGGGCTTATAAACAACTCATTGATACAAAACATCAAGCTGGCCAAGGTGGATTCAATTATCTCACCTTGTTCCTCCCCTATTACCAATGCAAAGCAGAATTTTAGATAAATACGTTATATTAATAGAGGGCACCCCTGGTTATGTAACAGTTTGGTTCAGTGTGCTTTTCTTTTCTTTTCTTTTTTAACTGTGTACTTCTTCCTTCCGTTTTGCCTTTTTGTAGCTTGACATATACGTATCTGGCTACCACGGCCCAGGTGTGTGTAGCCGAAGCAAACAATGAGTAAGACGTGCTTCAGTCTCGACTACTTCAATCATCCGGATACTGTTCCTTTATGTTTGAGATGAAGCAGCACGTCTCGGGATCAAATCTCTTGAAGAATTTCCCAGCATATGCAAATGGCGTCTCCAAGACCAACTCAGGATCATTGATGAGCTCGACATTTGCTTCAGCGATGACAAACCGCTCAGCAGAAGTAGATCGGCTGCACTTGTGTAAGCCAGAGCCATTTTGTAATGATAATTGGACGGGATGAAACTTACATGTACGTGAAATAAGTCTTCTCGGGATTTCGAACGATTTCTAGATCCGGGTCAGGCGTGTCCGGGTCATCAGAGCCCTCCGTCCGTCTCGAGTCACCTCGCATTAAAGTCCACCCAGTGATGACTCCCATCCACCCGTAACGCCTATGGCGGAATACTTGGCCGATTTTGAACGGCACGTCCTCGTTCCCTTTGTCACTCCTGCGAAAGACTGAGGGGGGCAAGTTATCGGCTTGCTGGGTATAACGGACCACGCGCCAGGCATCATTAACATCGGAGGATGCAGGGCGGATGAGTCTCCGGCGTTGGGCTGCAAAACGCTCATAGAGAGGCATCACATACTTCTCCACGAGCCATACATCCTCTGGCCAGTGCCTGCAAAACCGGTCCATGAATACGTCGAAAAACTCTTCCCACTCAAAGCTAGAGGTGGGCACCATGATCAGCATGGCCCAAAGGCTGGCGTAGTAGCAGGCGTTCACGTTCATAGGCCCAGAGCCGTGAAGGAGCCGCGTGAGATTCGTCTCTCCGTCGCGATCCTGCTGCTCCAAAAATGTTTCGTAACTGAACCTGATATTGTTGGCCGTCCTGATGATAGTTGAGGACGTCGGGGTAGGTTCCATGGCGGCGGTGCTATTCTCCGAACCGAAACGAGCCAGTAAACGCCTGAGCTCCTTTGCAGGGACCTCATCGTCGCTGCCGTGAGGATCCAAATACATCCGTTTTCCTGGTTCAGTGGCTTCGTCGACTTGTTTATCGTCCAGATCCCGACCTGGGGGAGGTGATACAACAACGTGAATATGGCCAGGGAAAGCATTACACCGTGCGTCGAGCCCAATTCGCTGCGCCATGCTGCAGTAGATGGCACTTGAGATGATTGGGATCGACTCGTGGTCCTCATGCTGCAACGCCTGTCCGATCAAGCAGTTTCTCAGGTTGCGGTAATCCCTCTCCGGATGTCGAAGGCCGGTCAGATTCTTTGCCCGGACCCATCTGTTGAGAGCAAGGGCCTTCTCGCGAGTTGTCCATTCATCCATTTGCGGATGGCTTGAACAGAACCTAGCAGTGAGGCTACCAAGAAGGGCAGTTATCTATAGTATTTCGTGAGGGTTAGTCCATATATTTAATACACACTCCGACAAGTGCTCCATGGTACTCACGTCGTCCAAGTCACCGCGTTGGCCATGCAATACAAACATGTCGAACGCCCCGAGTCCCTTTTCAAGCTCGAGAGGGTTGTGCCTATCCGACTCCACGGAAAGAGAGATCCACTGCTCGACAGCTATGTGCCTGTGAATAGCATCCAAGGCAGCATGAGCAAAGTATCTATATGGAAATGTTTAACGATTTTATTATTTACGGTAGAGAGGATGGCATTTCATTTTTGCTCAATCTTACCTTCTTGCCAAGACATCCTCAAACGAGTCGTCTGCATCGCAGTGTTCAAGCAGAAAATCTTTGGCATCATAACCAAACTTGGTAATCCGTTCAAACCTCTTGAGCCGGCCAACCTTGGTCCTCAAGATGCCCTCAAGCAAACGCGATATCTGCTTGTTCCGAGCATATCTTAAAACAAAAAGTTGCTTCCAGTTCGTCCGGTGCGCTGGTAGTCTGAGGAGGGTTTTGAAACCGTGGCTGGGGTGCCAATATTTGAAGGTCTGGATACAGTGAAATCTCCATATCAGTCCCTCCCTTGACAGTCGAGCCAAATGGCGACAGGTCAGACCAACGCCATGAAGGGTGTCCAAGGGCGAGAGGCAAAAGAGAACGTGCCGGATGATTTCATCCGGAAGCTGGTTGAGCGACATGATGATGCCCAAGGTCAGTCATGTCTCCAGAACCCGGGGCCCAAAGGAATTTGCATCAGTGCGACCCAACTCCCCTCCCCTCAACGAAGGAGAGACTCAATATGTCATAGGGGCCAATCCGTTGGGTGTTTGTACAGGTGGGGTCCCCGAATTTACACCGCCTCTTATCCGTTTTTGGACAGCACAATGGAGCAGATAAGCTATGCCCGATTCGGATATAAAGTAAACAATAAACCACTTACGCGCTTGTGCCCGCACAATTATCCAGATCCATGTAGACATTCATAACTTACATGACTTACACTGATCTCGACGCGACTGTGACTTGTTGTAAGTTAGAAACCACGGTTCTGTGCCTCATCTCCGTCTCTGGGCCGATTCCAATTGCAGGCCTTTCCACTATGACCTATTCTTCCCAATGAATCAATCCACTTATCAACTATATTGAACCTTTCTGCTTAACTTCTTCCATCGTGGAGAGACCCAACCATGGGCGCCCTCGACACCCCGCGAACCAACATTGGCGACGCGACCTACCTTAGCCAGCGACCTCCCGACTTTGCCGACATTTCCCAAGAGGCAACCTTTCACTCCCCCGAGAAGGATGGCAACCTTTTGCAGCAGCTGCGGAACGGGCGCTCCAACGGCGTAAACCTACGAACGCCGCGGCAAAGAGGTCCTCTGGCCGACCGAAGGAACCTGCCCCCAAGCATTGGCGGCGCCGAATTCACACCGCTGCTGAAGTCAGCCACCAGAAACAGCGTGCGACGCAGAGGCAAAGAAAACAGCGGCGGTGGCGCTATTGCCGACACCCCAAGCCTGACCAGAATTGAGGAGGATGATATGACGCCGGTGCCGCGCGCCGACACCTCCATCTACCTAGGATCGCGCAATCAGTCTTACCTCGACAACACATTACCACAAGTGGAAGCCAGCAGCGTGGCCTCCACACCGATAGCAATACGCCCACGCCGGGGAGGCGGTGACAAGGGTCCTTTGCAGGACGGCAATCAGCTGTCGCTTCGGGAGCAGGAGAATGTGATCGATAGAATCGAGAAGGAGAATTTCGGCCTGAAGCTCAAAATTCACTTCCTGGAGGAGGCCCTCCGTAAGGCCGGTCCCGGTTTCAGCGAAGCGGCATTGAAAGAAAACACCGAGTTGAAGGTAGACAAGGTCACAATGCAACGAGAGCTTCACCGGTACAAGAAGCACCTTACGACGGCCGAGCGCGACCTAGAGAGCTACCGGCAACAAATGCTAGATCTCCAGGAAAAGGCGAAGCGCAAGTACGCTGATGAGAACCAACGAGCCGAAATGGACAAGCTGCGGCGGATCATGGAGGAGCGCGAGCAGGACGTGGAGGATCTTCAACGGCAGCTCGATCAAAGACAAAAAAGTGGCGACGATATCGAGAAGCTGCAAGACGAAGTAGGCGACCTCGAGGCCGACATCCGCGAGAAGGACCGTATCATCAGCGAAAGAGAAGACGAAATTGAGGACCTAAAAGATAAATTAGAGGATGCGGACGAAAAAGCAAAAGACTCGGCACGAAAGCTTGTGGAGGCGGAACAAGCAGAACAACAAAGCGAAGAATTGGAAGACGCCAAGGAGACGATTCAATCGCTAGAGCACGACATCCGCCGTCTGGAAGAGCAGCTCGAAGAGACGAAGGAGAAAATGGACGATGCTATCAGCGAAAAGCAACGGGCAGAAGGCGACCTGGAAGAGCTCCAAGAAGAGATGGCCAACAAGTCTGTTGTCACAAAGGGCCTCTCTCGACAAATAGAAGAGAAGGTAACCCGGCTACAAAATGAGCTTGACCAGGCAGGACAGGAATATGCGGCTCTGGAAAAGGAACTTTCTCAGACAATCCAAGAAAACGATCGTCTCAAATCAACTGTGGATGATCTTGAAAACGAAAGAGACAATGTTGACTCAGAAAAGCAATCCTCAACGGCTAGACTACGCCAATTAGAGCAAGATCTCCTCTCGCGCACAGACGAGAAAAACATTCTACAGTCTCACTACGATTCGCTCGCTACCAAGTCGGACTCCTTCCAAGACACAATTGAGAGGCTGGAAGGAGAAATTCAAGATCTCGAGAACAGCCTCTCTGACGAGAGAGCACATGCACTTGAGATCGAAAAAGATCTTCGAAGCCAATATCGAGACGAGATTGAACGACTGAATGGAGATATATCTGATTTACAAGCCGAGGTGCGGGAAAGAGACAACCTTTACGATAATGACAGCGAGAAGTGGGAAACGGAAAAGCAGACTCTGGAGTCACAGCGTGATCGAGCCGAGGAGAAAGCGTCGGGCCTGCAGAGGACCATCGATCGACTACGCGAGGCTGAGGGAAGTCTGTCAGATAAGGAGTCCAAACTACAGGCGGCTCTCTCTAGCGAGGCCGAGCGGCACCGAAGCGAAGAGGGTGTCCTCACCAAGCAAATCGAGGATCTCCAAGATGCGCTGGACACAAGGCAAACCCTGTTGACTAATATCCGCAATGAACTCTCCACAGTACGCGACGAGTTACGACAAACTCAGATCGACTACCAGACTCAGGCGGATAAGATGGCGGCACTGGAAGATGAGATCGACGTTCTGCAGACTCAAGCCGATGAAAGGGGCGGGTCAGCACGCCGAGACCTCGAGAATATGCGGCAGGAGAGTGCACAGCTCAGAGAGGAAATCAACTCGCTTCGGCAACAAGTCCGCTCTCGAGGCTCGCCAAGGAAAATCGAACTAGCAAACGATGAGGCGCTTCGCCTGAAGCGACAGCTCACCGAAAGCACAACCCAGCTCGACAAGACTTCTCGAGAGAAGAAGAATCTTCAAGACCAGCTTTTGACAATCAAGGCTGATCTGTCCTCGGCAAGGGCATCGCTTGCAGAGGCAAAGGCGGAACGCGACGAGCTAGAAAGCCAACTTGACCAAGCAAGATCAAACGACAACGACACTCTTCGTGTTGATCAGGAGCGTCTAGATTTGCGAACTGCCAAGCTGAAGCTGGACCACGAGGTTCGTCGTCTAAAGGACGAGAACAAAGCACTGAATGACCAGCGTGAAACTGTTGAAAAGACCCTTCAGCATGAAATCGAAAAGGCAGCCGAGGAGGAGGAGCGCCTAAGCCAGGAAATCATCCAACTCCAGACCAAGCTACGACAATCTTCGGCCTCGGATAGTCACGACGTAGCCTCAGCTCGTCGCACCATCCGAGATCTCGAGCGCCGCCTCAGAGAATGTGAAACCGAGCTGGCTTCTGTTCAACAGCCCGCAAACACAGATGGCAACAGTGAGCTCTCCATGGTCCGGAAGGACCTAACCTCGGCCCGCGAGAGAGAGCTCGAATTCATTCAACGGGAATCTGCCCATCGCGATGTTGTCAAGGGTCTCAAGCGACAGATTGCCGATCTCGAGCGAAAAGTCCACGACGAAGAGCTATCGAGATTGATAGCATCACCAAAATCAACGATCAGCGACAGTGGCCGCAGTCGAGAAGTCACAACCTTGCGCCAGCAACTCTCCTCCGCGCAACAATCCGCTTCAGATTACAGGTCCAAGGCTCGCGAAGCTGAGCGCAAGGCCTCGGAAGCTACAGCAGATCTTCAAAGGCAGCTCAATGATCTCGAGGATCAAAAGATCGTTCTGGAGGAGGTTCTGGAGGAGGCCCGGCAACAGGCCGAAGAAGCGGCTACACAGCACGAACGCACCCTGCGCCAAATGAACCGCAAGCTGGAGAAGGCAGCGCGCGAGCAGCAGCAGGCCAATGCCAACGGCAAGACGGAGCGTAACCTTCGCAAGAACCAAGCCGAAGTTGAAAACCTGGAGCATGACGTCCGTCAGCAACAGGAGCTCATCGACGGCCTGGTTGCGTCGGAAGCCTCGCTACGGCGCAAGCTAGAGCGTGCTCGCAGCGAGCGTTCAGCCTATCGGATGAGCGCAGAGAAGTTGCAACGCGATATCCAACGGGCGTCCAAGGCAGTGAAGAGCGAGGACCAGCGGAAGTCGAGCTACAACAGCGAGGCGATCGACACGGTCGTCCGCGCTGCCGAAGGCGCCGAGGAGCGGCACAAGAAGGAGCTCAGGGGCATGGTGATGCAGATGGAGTGGATGCAAGCCCGTTGGGAGCGCGAGGCCGCTCTACGCTCCGACGCCGCTTTCGCGAAGAAGTTCCTCCAGCTGCAGCTGAATGTCAGCAGCGCATGGTAAGTTTCAAAACCAATCCCCCCTTCCACAATCCCCCCATAACCCCCCTCAGCGTCGCATCAACTAACATGTCTTCTCCCTCTACAGCAACAAGGCCCAGCTCCGCGAGCTGGAGTACATCCGCACCAAACTCCTGGGCGACCGCAAACCGCTGGCCCTCCCCAGTACGGCCAACAAGGCCAGAAGCAACCCGCCCTCCGGCCGCCCCTCGCTCAAGACGTTCCTCATCATGGCTCGCTTCATCGCCCGCACCCGCCTATCCGCCCGAGACTGGGCCAAGCAGGAGACGGTGCGCCAGAAACTCGTCGTGGCCACGGAGCAGCAACGCAAAGTCAAGAAGTCCAAGCAGTTCAAGGTCGTGCGTGTTGAGCAAGTATCATGAGACGGGGAGGGGGGTAAATCTGTGGTTTTACCGTATCCAGTCAGCATGGGCGCATTATTCATGGGCGGCAACGTGTGAATGAACAAGAAGAAGGGTTTTTTTTTTCATCTTCGATGGGCGTTGCTTCTTTCTTCCAACTTCCTCTCTCCTTTCTTTCTCTCTTCTCCTATCTCATTCAGCAGTCACTAGCAGGCATAGGCATCTGGCGTTGGTCACAAATTTGGACTGACACGATCGGGAAGGAGGCGCTTAAATGATAGTTCTAAAAATGATGATGCTCTCTTATTTTCAAACAAGTAAATGAGGAAATTGAACTGAATGCTGAAACAATGGTTCCCAGACACCATGCCCGATAGCTAAAAGGTGCATACAAAGACGTAAGACGTAACCGATTGAACAAGAATTC